CATCTAACAAAGCCGAGGGTTCTAAAGAAGGACATAAAATAGTCACAAGAAAACAACTATTTCCCCCATTATCACCCTGAACCTAGGGAACTGTCCCCTCGTCAGGTCACCCAAAGTCTCTGGGTCTGGTCTTCCAAAAGCAGCAAAAAAAGAGTTCTTCCCATCTGGATATCTTGAGCACAGTGAGCCACGTGGCAGAGCCCCACAGAGAAGCTCCCCAGCTAATGAGCCTGCCCCGCTTCCCCCAGACCCCTGCAAACGTCAACACTCCTTCACCAGCTCCCCACAGTGCCCACCACCCATACCAACATCTTCCCCCTTCTCAGGTGGTCTTCATGGGAGCCCTAGGCCACCAAAGACGAAAGGTTCACGTTTTCCCTCCTCATAAAATAGCTGCATACCAGAGACTCTTGCTTGACAGGATTTTTCTAATTTGATTTTTAAAATGTATTCATTGACTCACCCATGAGAGGTGGGCCTGGCTGCCTCTACACGCAGAGTGCCTGCTCAGTGAGGGCTGAACAACCTGGTTCATTCTGCTGGGCTCCTCCAGCTCTCAATTTCACAAAGCCACGCCACCCTTTTAGCCAAAGCATGCAGAGCTCCTCACTCTGAGAACAGACTTCTCCCCAGTGGAGGCTGGGCTTGCAAATGGTTCAGTCCCATCGTTTTAAATACTATCTATATGCTGACAACTCCCAAATTTATGCCTCTCGCTTGGATCTCTCCCCAGAACTCCAGACTCGTATAGCTGACTGCTTATTTGCCATTTCCACGTGGATGTTTAATAGTCACTCCAAACTGAACGTATCCCAAACCTAGCTCTGATTTCTGCCCCCAACCTCCATCCCTTGCCAGGTACTCATTCCATTTGCATCTTCCTTGACTCAGATAATGGCCATTTCTTCTTTCCGGCTGCCAGGCTGCAAAATCTGTGAGCCACACTGAACTCCTCCCTTTCTGTCATGCCCATATAAAATCATCAGAAACCTTTGTGACTTGATCTTTGAAACCAATCCAGATTCCAGCTACTCTGCCCCACCCCTAGAGTAGTTTAACAGCTTCTGAACCAGATGCCCTGCTCACACCGGGTTCACAGCGCTTTGGGAAGCTGAGGAGGCTGAATCACCTGAGGTCAGGAGTTTGAGACCAGCTTGGCCAACATGGCGAAACCCCATCTCTACTAAAAATACAAAAATTAGCTGAACAAGGTGGTGGGCACCTGTAATCCCAGCTACTCCGAAGGCTGAGGCACGAGAATAGCTTGAACCCAGGAGGTGGAGGTTGCAGTGAGCCAAGATGGGTGACAGAGCAAGACTTCGTCTCAAAAAAAATATTGGGTTAGCTATCTCACAGGATGGCTTTAATGAATTCATGAAACGATGTCTACAAAAGCACTTTCTACACTGGAAAAGTGCAAAACCAAACCTGAGCTGCTATACAGCAGGCACACGGCATACACACAAATGCCTGTTGAATGAATGAACATCCAAACATTTTCAAATGTCAACATGCACATGAACTTGAGAAACAGTCTGTGTTGACAAGAGGACAATTTAAAACCGTGTGTGGAGACAGATCTGCTCTGGTGATCATCTAAGGTAAAAACAACTTTACACCAGCGTTTCCCTCGGAACTTTGATGCTGGAAAACCCACGAGGCCTCACATCGCCCAAAGGTGGAACCGTTTGGTCTTCTATCATGTCTCCTACTCTCACTTCCACTTCAGCCATCTTCTCTTTCATCTGCCCTCCCACCCCACCTTCCAGACTCTTCCTTCCACAACAAGCAAGCTGCCTCCAGGCTTTTCTTGCAGCTCCACTTGCTCTGGAGCCCTCACTCATCGCAGTGACCTTTCCTTGCTCTTTCTCCCTCATTTTGTGCCCCGTGGAGATGGGACCCGTCCTGCACTCAGTGTTGCTTTAGCCCAGCCTCCTTGGAGGTCCCTGCCATTCCACTCTTCTTCCCCAGCCTCCAGTCATCAAAGCCACCTGCTGCCCTCCTTCCTGACCACTGCCCTGGGGGGCATCTCCAGGTCCTGTGGACAGCCCTTCCCACAACCTAACTCTCAGCTCTCACCACTGCAAATTATCTTTCCATTCATTCCTTGTCTGCCATGCTCTATGAGTATATTCTGACCTTTGTCTTCCCCATCCCACCCCCAAGTCGTACACTCCCATGTCCTCTCCTGTCTTTCTCACTCCTCTTTATTCTTAATGCACCTGCTCCCCCACTCCCTCAGTACCCTCATCTCCTTTTCTCCACGCTCAGCCTTCTCCTATCCCCACCTCCTTCTCTGTCAGCCAAGGTTTCAAGGTCCAACCCTTTGAGCATTCTCTGACCCCCAACTCAGTTGTCACCCTTGACCTTTCAACATGCCCTCCCAGCAACCCCCAACCCTGGATTAGCCTGATAATCCTTCAGCTGTGTTCCTACCCTCTGGCCAGGACCACTAGAGAGAAATCAGATCCCAACCGCCAGGGTGCTGCCAGCACAAATTACAAGCCTCTACAACACCAGACAGGTCACCCGTGGGTCTCTGCTCCGAGCCTTGCTCTGCCCCAACCAAAACCTTCACTGTCCTCCTCCAGCCAGTCCGTCCACCTCCCCTACTACTCTCAATAAACAATTGTACCTTTGGTTTCTTCCTCCACAGAAAATAAAAACAAAGTAAGAATTCATTTCTGCCTCGCAGAGGTGACTCTTGTGACCAAGAATGAGGCTGAATTCTGGATCTCACACCCTCTCACCTGCTCATTGACATCGCCCCAATGAGAATTCCCCTTCCTCACTGCTGTCTTCAATCTCTCCCTAATAGGGCCCTCTCCAGCCACATGGAAGTGTACTCGGGTGCTTCCCAACTTAAAAAAGCCAGCAAAAACCAGACTGCCTCCACCTGATGCCCTCCCTCTTTACAGCCAAGCTACACACCTGACTCCACTTCCACCATCTCCTTAATCCACCGAAACTGGCTTCAGTCCCGGTTCCCAATGGCAGCCACTGCTTGCTACTGCCTGTGCACATTTCCAAACCCAGATGTGACCTGCCCCTTCTACGCATTTCACTCTGATTACTTCCTCCTTCTTCAAGTTCATTTTCATTTTGCTCTGCTGCAAGTTCACTTCCACACATCTGACTCCTCTCTTGCAGGCTCCTGGTGCTTGGCCTGTCACTTACATGCAGTTGGATCTGTCCATGGCCTCCTTCCCATTCAACACATCCTCCTTTGAAGATCTCACCCACACCCATGATTTCAACCTCAGTGCCAGCTCCCAGAGCACTGGCCCTAGCCCAGGCCCCTACTCCACAGACCCAACTGCCAGCTGGTCCTCCCTAGCTGGACAGCTCCCAAAGGCACTTGCAACTCAACAGGTCTAAAACTGAACTCATCACCCTCCCACAAAACATGCTCCTTCTCCTGTGATTCCTCAACTAGAGAATTCCCCCATTTCTAAAGCCACTAAGCCCATAACCTTAGAATCATCCTCTACACTTCCCTTTCCTCTGTCTCCTATTTGCTTTCTCACCCACTACTTCTGACTTTCACTCCCAAAGATTTTCTGCACATGGCGCCTTCTTTCCATCCACACTGCTGCAGCCTAGACTACTGCACTAGCTCCAAAACCTCCTTGATTCCAGTCCTGTGATCCCTTCCCAATCTACTTTTTTTTTTTTTGAGATGAGTCTCACTCTGTCTCTCAGGCTAGAGTGCAGTGACGTGATCTTGACTCACTGCAACCTCTGCCTCCCGGGTTCAAGTGATGCTCCTGCCTCAGCCTCCCAAGTAGCTGGGAGTACAGGCACCTACCACCACGCCTGGCTAATTTTCGTACTTTTAGTAGAGACGGGGTTTTACCATGTTGGCCAGGGTGATCTGGAACTCCTGCCCTCAAGTGATCCACCCGCCTCGGCCTCCCAAAGTGCTGGGATTACAGGCGTGAGCCACCACACCTGGCCCCAATCTACTCTTTGTATTGAGATCCAGAGGGATCTCATCCTGCCAGTTTCCTGCCTAGCACCCTTTGATAGCTTCACACTATTCCCAGACTCAACATGGCAAGGCCTTTTGTGATATGGCCTCTGCCTACCTGTCAAACCCCAAAAGTGCTAGATGCTCTGGCTACAATGAACCTCTAGTAGTCCCCAGCACCAGATTGAGGGCTTACTATGCCCTCCCTTCCCCCAACCCTCTCCCAGTTCTTCCCTGGCTAAATTATTCAGCTCAACAGTTTCGTTTCCTCCAGCAGGTCTCTGCCAGCTCCCTGGTCCCTCCTCGAGTCCCCTCTCCCTTGAAGCTCCTACAGCAGCTCTCATCTCTGTCCATTCACCCACTCGTCCCCCTCTAGAGTAAGCTCCACAAGACGGCAACACTGGCTTGTTCATTCTTGTAGCACAAAGTCAGGATTCAACAGATACTTCTTGCATGAATAAAAGAACGAATATATAAATTCATGAAGTGCCAAACTAGCTTTTCTCCTTCCCAAACCACCCTTCATGGACTCCCTATCTTCTTTGGTTGGTGGCAGTAGTAAAAATGATACTACACCAGGCTCTACTCCAAGTATTTTACATAAATTAACTCATCTAGTCTTACAACTGTCCTATTATTACCCCCATTTTCAATTGGTCAAACAGGCACAAAGAGGTTAACTGAGTGAGCAGCAGACACAGGGTTGGTTCCAGCCTGTGTATTAAACTACTATACCTAATGCCTCTTGATAGCACATTTAAGGAAAACAAGTCAACATTAATATCAGTATGAACAAACTGCAATTTTGAAAAACAAAGCCCTAAGGAAACAAAAACTAGCCATTCTGGGAATCATTCTTGTTTTTGGCCTAGTCATATCTGACTCCTTTAACCAAGGCAGACAACTCTGCAGGGAGTAGGGTGTCATATCTGCCAGGCAGGGCCCCCAGCTCAGCTCCCCAGGTCTCCAGACCCCTCAGCAGACGGCCCTTGTGTCTGAGTCTCCCCCTACTCCAGAAGGCCCACCTCACCTTGTCCCCGATGCCTTCAGCCTCCTCAGCCAGCAGGTACACGTTGCTGCCGTCGGCCAGCAGCAGAGCAGTGTCGGTGGTGGAGGAAGAGCGGGGACGGCACTGGTGCTGGTGCAGGATGGCGGCCAGGCTGCTGTCCTGGGGGGCCTTGCGCAGCAGGTGAGGGCTGCCACGCTGGGGCTCCAGGGAGCTACTCTTGGTGCGCCGGCTGCTGCTCCCGCTGCCACCGCTCCCACTGCTGCTGTGCAGGCTGGCACCCCGCTTGATGGAGGGCCGGGAGCGGATCTGCTGCAGCACGCGGTTGAAGGCGGTGGGCCGGGCAGGCAGATCGTGCAGGGACATGGCATAGGAGACGCGGTGCATCTCCGGAGAGCGCTCCTTCTCATCTGGGGAGTCATGGTCGGACATGCCCTGCTGCTGCTGCTGCTGCTGCTGCTGCTGCTGGGAATCCTGAGATGTCTGGTGCTCCCTTTCCCGAGACCGGCGGCGGCTGTGGAACAGGTGCTTCAGACCGTGGCCAAACATGGAGCCCTCTGACAGCTGCTGGATTTTCTTAAAGGGGAGAGATGAAGAACCCTGGTGAGTGGAAAGCTCTTGATTGCCCAGTCAGTTGGGGGTGAGGGTGAAGGGTCTGTCCTTGGTAGACTGGCATAGCTAATGCAGCCATCTGAATCTGGAAGATCCCCATGGATGGCCTGTCATGCCTAAAACATCAGTTTGCGAAAAGGTGGCAACCCAGACCCATCCTTTCATTCCCAAAGAGATGTGCCCCCATGGTTTTCCACCAGACATTCCTAATCAAAGTGTGGGTTGTGAGTTTCTACGAGTGATGTTCTCAGGGCTTCAGTCTGGGCCTAGTGGCACACAGAGCACTTTGCTGATGGGGTTGTATCCCTCTAGATTGATCCCCCTGCCCCCAGTCCTTCCCTCCTTCCAGGCTAGACATCCCTTCAAGCTGTACTAGCTCTTTCGGGCCACCAAGCATCAATTTCCAAAGATCCCTAATTCCAGCACTCCTCTAGGAGAATCAGGGTCATACAATCAGGTTATACTGTTGCAGCAGACACTGCTAATTGCCTACCCAATATCTATTTCTCTTTCTTTCTTACCAACCAAACTGCAAGGACTTAACGCACCTTGCTAAAAATTCCTGCTTCATCAGACTCCCTTGCAGCTAGGAGTAGCCACCTGACACAGTTTGGGCCAATGAAAAGCAGCAAGGTGAGAGTTTCTGGGAACACTCTGGTTTCCTGAAAAAGACACTGGCCCTTCCTACTACACCTTCCCATCTGGAATGCAGAGATGCAGTGGCCATTCTGCAACCACAAGGTGACATGGTTGACAATGAAGGCCTGCAACCAGATGGTGGAGCCCAAGGGACAGGCCTGGGAACTTGAAGGTCTGTGGAGCCACCAAACCAGTTGTGAACACCTATCCTGGGATTCTTGTTGCATGAAATAAACCCATCTTTGTCTACACAACTCTAGTATGATTTTCTGTTATTTGCAGCCAATTTCATTCCTGATATAGTTGGCAATGCAATAAACTTTACTTCTATGAGCAAACCTTGTGACACAGTCAGTAATATGACCAATTCTTTAGGACACACATCAGAACAAGCTATCCAAATGAGTGTCTTTCCTCTTAAACCCAAAGCATAGACGCCCTGCAACCCAAACCCTGGCCACAGCCTTTCTTCTTAGCCCTGCCACTGAGATTCTCCAGCTGCTTTTCCGGCAAGAGTTCTCACAAAAGGCCAGCTGGATGGCCTGCCAGGGCAAGCAACTGTGGTATAATTCCAGACAGCTGCTTCTGTCAGGGGATGGCTTATCTGGCCAGGCTGAGCCCTCTATGAGAGCTTTGGAGCCATTGGGAGGAGGAATGAGACTTGGAGGACCAGGAGACACCTCACACTCTGCAGCTCTTTAGAGGAAAACTCAGAACTCAGCCATTTGGGACTTAATGAGCCATGCAGGATTTCCTGTGAGGAACAACCCACAATCCTACCAGGCAACCTAAGTCATTTAAAAAATGTTCCAAAAAATTACACAGACTGGATTTGCTGTTTCTTTCCCCCCCACCCTGCCACGCTGAAATAAACTTACAGAGCAGAAAATCTAGACCATACAGAAACCAAGAAAAAGCAACCTTATAGCTTCTGAATTAGCTGACCCCACTCTTAGGTTACTTTGCAACTCAGCCTTGACTGTGTACAGATGGCTGCACTTACAGCTGGATACAAATAACTATACTATCATGTATTTGTCTAAAATTTTAGGATTTTCATTTTTCACCTCATCTGAGCATCCCCAGAATCCTCAAAGTAGGAGAGGCCCTCACACTACCCATTGTACAGACCAGATACATTACATAACCACAATTCACCATGAACTAATGGTTTTTGTTTTAAAGGAGCTTTGTATCCTGCATTATCCCATTTGATTTTCCTAAATAGTAACAAAAGCAACAATTGTAACATCTCCATTTAGAGATGAGGAAATTAAGGCTATCACTATTCCTTCTTGAGAACCGAACTCTGGGGCAGCCCTGGAGATGTTAGGTTACACAATGCCAGGTTTTCCCACAGGGGTTGCCATCCCCTCTGGGCCCGCTTGAGGCAGGGCCACAGGGCTCACTTGAATCTGTGCTGGAGAGAACCAAGATGTCAGCTCTGCCAGGGACTTGGAATGGGCCAGGTCCTGCAGCCTCCAGACCAGGGACACGCCAGGACACCTCCCTCTTCCCTTAGCCCCAAGCTGATGTGAGACCTCCCTCCAGGCACTGTGATGGGCCAGCTGGCTCTGGCATTTGCCCAGCTGCCTCTGCCAAATCATCACATTCCATGTTACAAATTGTCTTTCTAGCATTCTATTCCAGGTCCTTTCCTCTTCTCCCTCCATTCCTAAACTGGCTTCTCCAGCACTGAGGATCCACTCAGGCAGAAAGGGTTTCCCTTTTAAAGACTTCAGCAGAGGTCCTAGAGTTCTGAGGCATTTTCTCTCCCATATCCTGGGAGTCCAGTGGAGGTGCAGGGGAGAGCTAAAGCAGCCACTAACATCTGCCATATTGCCTTGGAGCCTAAAGTCCTTGGCCAATTTACTTTTAAAATTTATATGGCCGGGCGTGGTGGCTCACACCTGTAATCCTAGCACTTTGGGAGGCCGAGGTGGGTGGATCATCTGAGGTCAGGAGTTCAAGACCAGCCTGGCCATCATGGTGAAACCTCAACTTTGAAAAAAAAAAAAAAAAAGAAATTGAAAAAATAAAAAATAAAAAAAATTTATACAACAGCATTTTGCAAAGTGCTTTCCGATTTATACTGTCATTCTAATCTGATACTAACCTAATCCCAGGAGCTAGGAATGTGAGACATCACAGCATCAGCCTCTCCATTTTGCAGATGAAGAAATAGAGGACCAGCATAGCTAAGTAGCTCATCTAAGCCACACAGAGGAGCTCCCAACTTCTAGTCAAATTTACCTACATGGGCTCATACACTGATTTCAAGACTAAGGTAGATAGGGTATTTGCATGCATCCCAGAACAGTATCAAAGGCAGGAGCACAAAAATGGCTGGGTCAAGGGTTGTTAGGTCCTCTGAACTGCAGCTGTGGATCTGCCCATCCCATGCTATAGGGCAAGCCCCTCAACTATAAAGTCTTTATTTCTCACCTCCCCGAGCTGTTCTGCAGGTGAAGGAAACCTGGGGAAAGTGAGCAGGAGACCCCAGGACCTCTGCCCCAGCAGATGGAGGAGTCTATTAAAGTCTATGGCAGGCAGGAGGGAAAGAACCAAAAAGGAGTCAAAGAACGTGTGCGGAGAGGAGATTGCTCCAAATGAAGGGGGTTTTCCTCACTTGTAAGGAGCGAGGCAGGAACAGCAAAGTGACGCATGGGCTGGGCCGCTTCTGCATGTGGGTGTCAGGGAGGAGATGGTTAAGGAGTTTTGACATAACATGGTAAGTGTTAAAAAAAAAAAATAAACAAAAAAAAAAAAAAAAAAAAAAGCTGAGCACATACACATACCCAGCTACAAGTTTCAGAAGTGAGGAAAACCATGGTGACTAGCTTAAGGGAACTTAGCCGCCAACGCAGCAATGCACCACCTGCTCTGACAACAGGTTCCAGCTCCTAAAATGTCACTTGCTTTTCCACATTGACTTTTGCTTTTCCCTGGCTGCCAGAAACCATTTTGGTAGCCAAATGAAGCCATGTATTAGAGAGCTGAGAAGCTTCAGAGTTAGAGGTGGAACACAAACAGGGCTTTTTTTTTTTTTTTTGAGACGGAGTTTCGCTCTTGTTACCCAGGATGGAGTGCAATGGC